CAGTCCAGATGTCCATCTGGCACTCCCTAGACAGATAGGCGTCAATGGATGACCATTGATCATGATAGCCAGGCTTAGCTAAGTGCATCCCCCTTTGGAAGCTGTCCTAGGAAACCTTATCAAAGGAACCTTAAATCAGCCTGCATGAACAGAGGGATGAGGCCTCATTTGGGAAGGCTCAGAACACTTAATTCTTTCTTATTAATAAGCCTCGCCGCTACAGCATCCACCTCAATGGTAGCTTTGAAAGATCTGCAATGGCTGAGATGAAAAAAATATCTGAGTCAACAATATCCCAGTCACTCTACAAAGGCTCCCTGTATAACAATCAAAGTCATACATGGTGTTTAAAGTGACAAAGCTTTTAAGTAACATGGCAAGCATGTAGCAAAGGGGTTTGTGATCAAACAAGAAAAAAAATAAATCTTCTGGTATACATACAAAGTGTTACATCTGGTACAAATCCATCACACTGCATCACCTAGTCTACATCATCCCTACTTTCAAGCATGGTAGCAGTATTAAATTATAGTGGTGCTTCTCATCAGAATGGACTAGGAAGCTTGTCAAGACTGAGGGGAATGTGTGGAGAAAACTAAAGGCAAATTTTGTAATATATGCCTCAGTCTACTAAAGACCTATTCAGAAATTTGGTTAGATCATAATGACTGCAAGAGAGACAAATATGTAAAAAGTATTTGGTGAGGCTCGCCTCGCTAAGAGAATGGTGGCCTTTTCTAGGCTGACCAGATCCTCCCTTACTTACTGTGAGGAGTAAGTTAGGGACTTTGTCGCAAGGGTGTAGAATGGAAGGCATGTTGGATGCAAGAAAGAGACACAAAAGGAAGTCCTGGGTGCGAGACATACAGTGCCTTCAGAAAATATTCAGACAACTCCACTTTTTCCACACTTTGTTGTGTTGTAGACTTATTTCAAAATGGATTGAATTGATTTTTTTTTTGCCATCAATCAATACACCACACCTGAAAATGAAAAAGTGAGTTTTTGCAAATTTATTAAAAATAAAAAACTGAAATCTCCCATTTAAATAACTGTTCAAGCCCTTTACTATGACACTCCAAATTGAGCTCAGATGCATCTTATTTCTTTTGATCATCTTTGAGATGTCTCTAGAACTTGATTGTAATCCACCTGTGACAAATTCACTTGATTGGACATGATTTAGAAAGGCATACACCTGTCTTTATAAGGTCCCAAAGTTCACAGTAAATGGCGTAGTAAAATATCATCTGGCTAATATCATCACTACGGTGAAGCATGTTGGTGGCAGCATCATGATGTGGGGATACTTCTCAGTGGCAGGGACTGGGAAACTGGTCAGGATTGAGGGAAAGATGAACAGAGCCAAATACAGAGAGGTCCTTGAAGAACACCTGCTCCAGAGCACACACAACCTTGGACTTGGGTGAAGATTCACCTTTCAGCAAGACAACGATCAGAAACACACAGCCAAGCTAACGCTGGAGTGGCTTCAGAACAAGTCTCTGAACGTCCTTGAGTGGCCCAGCCAAAGCCCGGACTTGACCCCCATAGAAAATCTGTGGAGATACCTGAAGATTGCAGTTCACCAACACTCTCCATCCAATCTGATAGATCTTGAGAGGATCTGCAAGGAAGAATGGGAGAAACTGACAAAGACTCGCAGCTGTAATCACTGCTAAAGGTGGTCCTACAAAGTACTGAATAAAGGGTCTGAATATTTATGTAAATGGGAGATTTCAGTTTATTTTTAATAAATTAGCAAAAATTCCTAAAAATTGGTTTTTACTTTGTAATTTTGGAGTATTGTGTGTCGATTGAAAGCAAAAAAAAACAATTAAATCCATTTTGAAATAAGTCTACAACGCAACAAAGTGTGGAAAAAGTGGAGGGGTCTGACTCATTTCTGAAGGCACTGTATACATCGGCAAGCGTGAGATTAGGATTTAACGTTTCACCTGAATTTCTATTATAATTTGTTATAATTCCATTTTAGTAGTTTGGGCAGATACTAACAGATGTTAGATAGAAATTAATATATTAATAATATAAAGTATTTGGTGAGGCTCATCTAGTTGAGGGAATAATGTATGTACAAAACATTCCTGAGGGTGGATGACAGAATTAAGCTCATAATGAACAAAATGCCTTGAATGATTACTTGTACCTGTTTTAAAGTTGTCAGCATTCAGTATTGGGATATGCACAGCATAACTTCTGAACTGAGTACCCTGGAGAGGCATATTAATTTCATAATGTGTAGATGGGAGATGAAATAACTAGGATGGGGGTTAAGGGTTAAGATGATACTTGTATTGTATCAGAAGTGACTGAAAAGAGCAAAACCTCACACTTCTAGGAGGACAAGAGCATAAAGATGGCAAGAACTTTGTGCTGCAATTGAACTGGGTTGTGGTAAGAAGCAGGAATCAGGTTGAAGCTGCTAATCATCCCAATAGATTTGTATAAATTGAAAATGTTGTAGTTCTTTCTGAACTGGGAACTCAATTTGGGTGGGGCACATGATGGAGTTAATATTTTTCATGTCCTAAAAGGGTATCAAAATTGACATAACTTTAATATCATTTAATTCTAAGTGAAATAATAAGCCTTGTCTCTGCCTGGTTGATCTGGGACTGCAAGGAGAAGTGGCATCAAAAGAGGTGGGAAAAGAGGAGAGCAGGTGCAAGGAGCTGACTGTTGTTTGCAGAAAGGATGAGTCTGAAAAACTACTTTATCAAGCTGGCAAGGAAACTCATCCCATCCTAGTTTGTATGGTCGGATCTCTGAAACCTGCCATGCTAGGAAAGGTGGATAACATACAGAGGCTGAAACTGAGCCAGGCAAGCTGCAGTGGAGAAGTGCACTTTAAAGTCGCAACTTTATCAGCACCGAGTGCGAGTCATTTGTCTCTGAATGCTGTACATGCCAAAATGCAAAATAGATATACGAAAGGAAGTCCCAGCTGGAAGTAGGCGATATATGCAGGCAAGTGGAAGTTTTGGTTTAGATTAGGATCTAACCTTCCTCCCAATTTTCTATTAAAACTTGTGATATAATTAAATAAACTGCAACAGAAACTTAAGTGTCACTGGGACAATGACCTAAAGCACAAAACCAAATCTACACTGGACTAGCTTAATAAGAAAAAGTGAATTTCCATAATCCAAAACAGATAGGCTTTCATATCAGGGAAGGTGCCAATTAGTGGTTTATTAAAAACTTTCAACCTTTAGTAACCAGTAACCAAACATTACTGCAGTCAAAAGTAATCTTTATCTTGGTTTTCTCTTTATCAGGTTCAGATGATGAGGAAGATGAGGAGGATGCAGATGAAGCTCCTGAAGAAGCCCCCTCAAAAAAGACAAAGAAAAAAACAAAAGACATTGCCAATGCATCTGGAGACAACAAGGACAAGAAAGCTAGAGCCAAAGGTAAGAATCCTCCTTCTTCATTGTCTATCAGAACCTCACTTATGAGAGAAGAACTGATTTGCACTGGTTTATAAATTATTACTGGCTTTTACTTATGGCAGCACAACAGCTCAAAACAAAAGTGATTCATTTATATTTTCTATAATGAATGTAATTGTCTTTTTCCTCGGAAATTTAAAGTTGCTTTATGACCTTTAATCTTAATCTTTTCTGATCTTAGAAGTAATAGCACAGGCAAACTTTCAAGCAAAATCAATTTGTTTCTGTAAGTGATGTTACCAGACCAGTAAATGGTACAGTTCCCATTCGATAAGAAATTCCAAACCAGTACACCATTATGGTGACTCCAAACACTGCTGAAGGAGATTCCGTCCTTAAGACTGAAACATGAAATCAGGTTTCTGACTACTAGTGGCCATTAAAGATCATATGACTCTATTTGTGAAGATGTAACCTTAAATTCTTCTATGGGCTTGCACAATCTAGACTTTCTAAATATCTCTCTTAATACAATTGGTAAAAAAATGGATATATCCACCTAACTTACCATGTAGGGATGATGGTGCAAAATGGATACTATGCATCGCTTAGGCCACCTGGTACCAGGTACTAAATTGTCGGCAGTCTGTAAGACTCTGTAAGCAGCGTACCAGTTGGCCGCAGCTGCAGTGTTTCACGTTTCTATGAGTGGTCATTTTGTGAGTTTTTTGTTACACGATCGCAATTGAGAGCTTTTAAATATGAATAAAAAACATGAAGGAGCCTAGTTCTAGAGTGAAACAGAAATGCAAATAGAGAAAGTATGATGACAGTTTCTTGAATTTCGGTTTCACATGGACAATTGTGGACACTGAAAAATGTCCTCAGTGTGTTGTCTACCTTAAAGTATTGGATGCTGAGAGCATGCTTCCCAATAAATTGAAACGTCATTTGGAAACTGTTCACAGCAATTTGATATGTAAGCCTTGTGAGTATTTTTCGCGCAAGTTAAATGAATGAACAGAAAGCTGCTTTTTGTAACCAAATTACAGTCCACAGCAAAGTTCTTCTTTCATACAAAGTTGCATACTGAGTGGCACAATGCAAAAAACCTCATACTATTGGAGTGCCAAGGAATAAGCAACAGAGTTCTGTGAATTCTCCCTCCCTTTGCAATTCCCTGCTTTTGTGAGGCTGGGTTTTCAGCACTTGCGGTTATCAAATCCAAGTTCAGATCAAGAGTCAATGTGGAGAAGGAGATGCACGTTGGCATTTCAAAAATACTACCCAGCATTTTTGGTGAATTATGTTAACATAATTTATTAAACAAGCCCACCTACCCATTAAGAGGCACAAACAAAAAGACATTATATTTCTCCCCCTTTTTAAAAAAACATTTATATTTAATTTGTACTTTTTCTAAGTCATTTTATTTGTATTATATTATATATTATATATAGACATTATATTTCTCCCCCTTTGAAGCAGAAAGCTTCTTGGAGAAAGAAGCTTTCTGCTTCTTCTACCAAACATGCTATCTACAGTATGCTAGCAATCTGACACGTGAAGAGTGGGATAATAGAGCTTCCAAACTAGCCGCTAGTTTACAGGCTCAGCAAAATGTATTTTTCCGCCCTTCTACTATCCAAGAGGCCAGCTCAAAGGCAAGCTACCTGCCTGCATATAAAATTGCTAAACAAAGCAAGCCACTCTCTGAAGGGGAGATTTTGAATGAGTGTATGATAGAAACCACAGATATTCTTTCTCCAGAGAGCAAGAGAAAATTTGAGAAAATAGGTTTATCACGCAGAACAGTTACCCGTTGGGTCGAGGTAATGGCATGCGAGTTAAACATCAAGTTTTATTCAATTAACATTAACCTTGAACTAATAAGCCTATGTTGGATTTTAAACTTATATAGGGCATAGGCTATCTGTAACAGCAGCCTGAAGTGGTCCACTATACAGTTTAAAAATTTTATGTGGCCCTTGGGACAAAAAAGTTTGCCCAGCCCTGGCCTAGGCAGTGGATGAAATAGGTCCTCAATGACAAAAGTTATGCAAATACATGTATTATTATTTGAAACTGGCGTGCAGGGAAGAAACAAATGCTGTACATATATAATTTTAAGAAGCTTTGTGTTTGGAAAATTAAGTAATTCTTTAAAATTACACTTGTTAAAGGGAAACTGCAGTTTCCAATTTATTAAATCTTGGTAGCAAAATAAATGAATTGTCAGAATTGAATTTGTTGTTTTTTTAATTCTGAATTTAGCATAATCGTGAACTTTGTGAAAGTACTGTATGGTTGCCATGTTGTCAAGAGTTTGCAAGAATTGGGATGTGAAGCAATCTTTCCTGTTCACAAGTCATTGTAATGACTAATATAATACGAAGAATGCGATGTATGAGCGAAAAAAGTACAAGTTGTACATCAGACATTTCACCACTGAAATGTTCCACTGTGATCTGCATGAAGAGTTAACAAGTAAGTAGTATTTGTCGACAAAACCACCTCAAAGTTGAGAGCAATACTTCTATAGGATTGAAAGAGATGTATTCACAAGTCTGCTTGTTTACAATGTAATAGAGCCACTTAACCTTACTGCAAATAATCGTTGCAGAATATGGCAATGCGCATACCGGAAAAATGTGTACTGTGTACAATTTACTTTTAATGTGGTTTGAAGTGCACTCATTTGATTGCTGGATGCCAATTTCTTCTAAGCCTCGAAATATACATAAAAATAACGTTGAAAGGGTTGAAACTAATTTGTTCCTTCATCTCAATTTAAATGTTCTTTTCATTATTTTCTGTCATCCTTTTAGAAGAAAAAAATGACTCAGAAGCCAAAGGAAAAGTGACAAAATCCAAAAAGAAAGAGCCAGCTTTCATGTTCCAGATAAATGGAGAGAAGCCTGAGGAGAAAACCAAGAAAAAGGGTGTGTTGGCTGTTTGTGTTGCTGTTTAACTATGCTCAGCAGTGATTGCCTTACATGCAGATCATATAGTACTTTTAAACCCTGAAAACAATTAAATAATGTTATTAAACTTATTAAGTATCATTCTCTTTTCAGTTGATCAAACTTCATTAATTCTACAAAAATACAATATATTCGTACACTTTCTACCTTCTGTAGTAGTTCTTTAATACTGTGTAATCATTTTACTTTCTACAGTATAATGAATCAAATACAAAAATAATTTTCCTTGACTTACCAAATTTTTTAATTTGTTTCTATACAATAAACGTCATATTCTGTAATGTAAATTCATTGTGTCATTCAGCCTGGTCACCAATGAGAAACAACCCAGCTACAGTGCCATGCAAATATTTTCACCATTTGTAATGATGTCCCATTTTGTTGAATTAAAAATGAGGACCACATTATTTAACGATTAAAAAAGCTAAATGTCAGATAAACTGAAAGAAAAATCTAAATAAAATGTGTTGATTCCATAAATAGTAGCACAATTGGCATAATAGTAAGCATTGCTGCCTTGAAGCCCTGAGGCTCTGGGTTCAATTCACCCTTTTTATTGCTAATGTTTTTTTATACAAATGAAACCTCAAGAGTTTTCTGTCTTAGCCTTAAAGGTAACATTAGGAAACAATTGCATTTTAAAATTAACTAGCATGTCATATTATTTCTTAGCTGTGCCAATACTTTTTAAAACTGAAGAAATAATCTAAGTTTCATATTGTATCATTTTTAAATAAAAACCTAAATCAAAAAGACATTTAAAGTTTTATCTGTCCTTTAAACTACAGTATGCATTTACAAAGGGCAGAATGAGCAATTTCCTGCATTAAAGGACCAGTATTATATATTTTTACACAATGTTAATACATAAACATTTATGAAAATTTGATTATTTGTTCATGGGGCACTATTTATGATGTCGAAATTGTTAATAACAGATTTGCAACACAACATTGTAAATGCTACCATATCACAAATAGAGATTTTGGTAAAATTTTAATATTTTTATTCATGGATCATGTGGATCATTCTTGACTTAAATCGAACAAAGAAAAAAGTTACATGTAAATATCTTGACAAACAGACAAATGATGAACATCTACAAATTTTCTTGAGCCAAAAAATAGGAAAAAATGCTTTTTGATATCTTGAATCACAATTACAGACAGAAAGGTCCCCAGTGAAAAAGAATATATATATATATTTTCAAAGTGTGATTAGTTTGTATGTACAAAGAAAAATCCTGTTTCAGCAAAAGTGACAGGGAAAATTTGGACTGCCACATCTTTAGTCTGTCCCAAGTAAGAAAAGAAAGCACTGCAATTTCAGCTGTAGAACATGCACAGGAGACAACTATCAGCTACGTCTCCTGTGCATCTTTGGGAAGGATGCAGGAAAGACTGAATTAAGTGATGTAAAGTGTACTAATGACGAAGGCTGTGAATTAGGAGCACAGTTTAAAAATGTGCATAAACTAGGTTAGTGGAACAATGCAGGAAACTTGATGATGAAAGAACTAAGTTAGGCAAGGGAAAAAAGAGAGGACTTACACTTTATAAGGCTAAAGCTAGAATTCAATCTCTTAAAAAGTAAGTACAGGAAATTGAAAAGTTAGGACATTAAAGTGTTAAGAATGTGAACTAAAGGTTTAGATGCAGAGATGATAAAATTCAGACGCTTGAGCAGAAAACCATTGAATGCAAGCAGTCAGTACTTCTAAATGAAAAGCAGAAAAGTAGCTTTGACAAGGACAAGGTACAACTAGAGAAGAATAATGACGAAATGCAGGAACAATAGGAAAAACAGATAAAGCAAAAAATGAAACAAAACTTTGTATTACAAAAGGAAATTCTTTTTAGAGTATTTCTCTCTTTTTAGAGATTTAGAGTACTGCACCAGAATGAGCAGGTGCATTTCTGTCAGGGGGCATATGAAGGTTTGAAAATAGAGAGATAGGATAGTGAGTCAGAAGATTAGCTGATATGAAAAAGGAAAGTATAACAATGCTGTCAGAGGCATATATTAACTTAGAAAGTTTTAGTAGACTCCTCCCTGTCTCACCAATGTACAGGAATTTTCTGCAAGAGATGCAGTAAATGAAGTTATTGGAAATACATTGTCATCTGGGTGATCCAGAATTGTCCAGAGGAGCCTTGAATGTGCATGGTATTGGATACAGTATATGTATTTACAGGTGATGTAGCAGGTTCTGTGGCAGGGGAAAGTGTTTGGTGTGGATTACTGTGGGAAGTCATGGAAACTGTGAACAAGAAAATTGTGTGGATTAGGTGGTCAGTAATATGAGATGATAGGGCAGGAAAGAGGGTACCAGTTGGGGTGTCATCCTGTAAGATGAGGACATTTATGGTCCTGGGAAAAGAAATAGCACTAGCACTAAATAGAAAGGTTGTTAGGGTGAGTGTGATTGTGAGTCTGAGAGTTCCTATTTGGGTTGATAGTCTAAGGGCTTTTTTGGCTCGGAAGAGGGCCTTGTCAATAATATGGGTAGGGTATCCTCTGTTAATGAAAAAAGAGTGCATTTTGAGGGTTTGGTTATGGAAGTCCGTGTCATCACTGCATAGTCATCAGAGCCTGTGAAACTGTGAAAAGGGGTGAATGTTTTAAGTATGTCTGGGGTGGAAAGAACTGTGCAGGAGATAGCTTTGTGAATCAGTGGGTTTATAACAGACAGAAGCTGAGAGTCTTGGATGGTTAATGTCCAGAAATGGAAGAGTAGTAGAAGATGCAGTATGTTAACTGTATGCTTGAGAGATGGGTCAAAGTTGGTGAAATGATGCAGGAAATGCTCTTGATGATCATTAGAGCATGTGGCAGCACTGACGCTGTCATCGATGTATGACCTGTAGAGGTCTGGTACAAAGTGGGTATTGGAAGCAAAGAAGTATTCTTCTACCAAGCAGACAAAAATATTTGCAAGCTGGATCCCATCCTAGTGCCCAAGGCAACTCCACTGATCTTGTGATTTTAAAAAACGTTACTGAACAAGAAGGCATTTGTTGAATCATAAACTAACTCAGATGTGGTCAGAGAAAGGAGTCTTTATTGTGTAAACAAGTAGCAAACACTTAGCAGGATAGCAAGTGAGGCTCAAATTGCAGTGAGTCTTTCTAGCTTACTTATAGTATTGTAAGCAGGTTGATGTCCATGGGTTTTGGGTTTGTGGATAATTGGACGAAGGTCAAATTAAGATGCGTGAAGATGTTCCTACAGCAGTGGTCAGGTTCGAGGCAACCTCTGGGCCTCCCAGCACTAGAATCTGTGAGCTATCAGGCTTAACTGGCAATCATCCCTGCATCTGATCCACATGGTGGCAATAAATGCTATCATCCGCCTTCACTGCCCTGTATTACAGTGGTCCTGTTGCCTCTACCACTGTAGCAGGTACCCACTTTGGGCCCCCAGCATAACTATGGATATGCACTCCATGCTGTGGTTCGAATCAACGACCTACACGCATACTCTTTTGCCCTCTCTTTGCTTGCTTTTCTGACATCTCTGCTACCAAGACTGGGTGTAGTCGATCCAGCACTGTTCGCAGTTTGTGGTTCATTAGCAGCTCAGCTGGGCTGCCCTGTAGCTGGGTTTGGAGTGGTATGCTGAGAGATCAAGAACCAGGCCACCTTGGTAACCAAGTCTCCCTCTGTCAGCCTGGACAGGGCTTCCATTGTAGTCTAAACCATTCTCTGCCTGCCCATTTGATGCAGGGTGGTAAGGAGCAACTTTAACACGATGTTCAAGTAGATAGATGTGTCAGCATGCATAGGCTGCAAAGGAACAAGTAAAGATTTACTCCATGCTGAAAAGAGAAAAAAAGCAACACAACGTTCACACCTGAAGAAGGCTCCACAACCGAAATGTTGTGTTTCTTTTCTTTTTTCAGCATGGAATGACCCTTTACTTGTTTCTTTGCTGTTACATGATGTATTGCATTACAACATATAAATTCCTCCAACTCCACTGATGCGAAAGATATGGCGTTGTCTGACACAATTGTTTAAGATACTCCATGTGTTACAACGACTGTTATAACGACTTCTAGCCACTTCAATTAGGCATCCACTATGACCAACAGCATCTTGCTCATCACTGGTTCTGCAAAGTCCAAGTGTAGGCGTGGCCATGGTTTTGCAGGCTACTCCCAGGGATGCAGAGGTGCCTTTGGTGGTGCTTGGCGTGTTTGCATACATTTTGCACACCCCCTTACCACTTACTCTACTTGAATGTCCAGACCAGGCCACCGCACCTAACTTCTTGCCACTTTCATGTGCACTATCCCTGGATGTGCCTTATATAGCAACCTAAGAAATCCATCTCCTGCCAACTGAAGAGCCAACACACAGCAACCCCTCAAAACACAATTCTTGTGAGCAGTGAGTTCCCACTGCCTCCAGAAACAACAGTGTGAACAGGTGATCATTAATTGAAGCCAACCAACCATGCAGAACCCAATGGAACACGTGAAAAGATTGGATCTTTTGCTGTTATGTCAGCAATTTGTCTTCCCTGCAGTAGTCAATCCGACACCATTTACAACAACAGAACCCCCAATGGTGGGGGTGTTGCTGATGACCTATTTTTCAAGGGAAGACGACTCAAAGCATCAGCATTAGTCAGATGTCTGTCAGGTCTGTAGCACAGCTCATAATCATATGCTCCTAACATCAAACTCCATCGCAGCATCCGAGCAGACAATATTTGCGGCGTCGGCTTTAGCATAACAGAAAAGACCCAATAACGGCTTGTGGTATGTGTAGATTACAAAATGTCACCCTTGCAGGTAATGGATTAATCAAAATTAATCCAAAAGAAAGCTGTTGGATTGCCCACTCTGGCCATTTTCAGTCAGTAGATTATTTCTTAATTAATGTAACTATCAAGCTCCAAAACTCTTTCCACACTCAGGGAACACAACATGGGTCTAACCTGACCCAAGGAGAAGTTCAGGCACTCCAGTCTCTCTGAAACAGAGCCAATATTGTTATCAAACCAGCACGGCAGTGCTGTTGAAGTGTGGCAAAACAACCTATATACTGTATCAACCAATCTTCCAGACACCTTACCAGCGCCTCTTCCTATTAACCTCTTCCATAGAATCCTAGCACTAACTACCAAAAGGAAGTGGTATCCTGATTCCCACACACATAACATTACCATTTATCACTTACTGTACAGTATCAGTTAGATCGAACAAAGTAAACAAAAATGAGTAAGATGAAAGTTACAGAGAATTCCATGGAGTAATATCTACAAATACCCATACATCAATTATTACCGCAGTTCTCGCTACCTTTTCAATAACATCTAATGCACCACAAGTGCCACCTACTGTAGCAATCTGTTTTTTGGTGTGGAGGGTTTCATAATCAAGTGAATAAGTGAATTATGAAGTGAATGTCTTTATTCTACAGCAGAGACCAAATCAGATGATGATGACAGCGAGTCTGAAAGCAAACCAAGCAAAATGAAGAAGAAAGCCACTGCCAATCCAGCCTCTATGTTCCAGGCAGGAGGAGATCCCAAGGACAAGAAAGGAAAAAAGAAAGGTGAGTTATGTGTCTCTCAATTAAAAATAATGTAGGTTTTTTTTATTTTATGTGTTTCACAGAAAATTGGCTTCTAAGCAATTTGAAACTAAATAGACTGTAGGAGTGATGTGGCTCTCATTGTCAACACAAGTTCACGGCTTGCAGGCACATGGCAAGCAATTAAAACACCATACATCCAGGTGGATGCTGCACATTGGTGGTGGTGGATGGGAATCCCCATTACCTGTAAAGCGCTTTGAGTGGAGTGTCCAGAAAAGTGCTATAAAAGTGTAAGCAATTATTAATTATTATTACTACTGCAGGCTGCTTGACTGTGGTGGAAGTCACGAGAATAAAAATGTCATTTTTATAACAAACTTCTTAGTTCACTGAAATATTCTGATATCTGTTATGACGTTTTCCATTTATCCATTTGAATTTTAGGAAGTTTTCTTTGTAAATTCCTGTATTGTTTTCTTCACAATGTTCAGATAATTCGTTTCTTGCACTCTGTCCGAACAGGTTCTGCAAAAGAGGAGGACAAGAGTGAAGAAGAGAGCTCAGAGGTGACCCAGAAGACCAAAAAGAAGGGCAAAGGCAAAAAAAAGAAGGCAGGTTCATGGGCTGTGACAGTGTACCAGCAGACAGCATCTCTGTTATTTATATCTTCCTTGCTGACTGTTGTTTTACATACATTTAAGTATTTCTGTTCTGATTCTGATCAAATCATTTGCCAATCAAAATAAGTATTTTATCCAAAAATTGGAGATGTAAAAAAACTGGCGGGCTGACTATGCTGATAAGATGGAAGGAGAAATCATTACAATTATATCTTAATTATATTATATCTTAAATAACCAATAGTTATTTAACATTAGAAAATTATGGTCTAAACATAAATATTACCAGTAGCATGGTATCAGTGAAGGAAACACAAATATAAATAACAAGCAAAACATACAATAAATAGTAAATACAGTAGAGTCTCAACATTTGTGGAGTTCTCTACAGAGAAACTCTGTGAACAGCCAAATTCACATATAAGCTATACCACTCCTATACTGTTCAATAATGTACTACAATGTATAGTATGCACAGTTACAAGATACAAGTAACCTTCTCTATTAAAATAATTAAAATAATAATACATTGGCTTTAAATTAAATAACATTGATTAACTTAAAGAAACAACAGTAAACACTAATTTATAGTTATCAGTACAAATAAACAACATGCTGATGTTGGATATGCTGATGTTATGATGATGGATATGATGGATATAATGAGATGCTGATGTTGGATAGAGGGTACTTGGACAGGAGGCTTACTTATAATTATAATAATAATAATAATTGCTTACACTTATATAGTGCTTTTCTTGGCACTCCACTCAAAGCGCTTTACAGGTAATGCATCCATCAGTGGGGAGGAGAACAGAGTAATGAAGCCAATTATACTCACCTACAAGGCTCTGCATGGCTTGGCACCTCAGTACCTGTCTGAACTATTATCGCCCTACTCCCCACCTCGCAACCTCCGCTATTCAAATTCTGCCCTCCTTACTGTCCCCCAAGCCCGTCTACATTGTATGGGTGAAAGGGCCTTCTCCTGTTATGCCCCCAAACTCCGGAACTCTTTGTCCAAGGATATCAGAGAGTCACCTTCTCTAAACTCCTTCAAATCCAGACTCAAAACCCTCTTCTTCAGAAAAGCCTTTACTTAACTGGTTCCATTCTACACCCCTCTGCTCTTCTTAATACCTCCATCCACGGTCTCCTCTATATATTGTAATTGTGTCTTATCTTGTGTATTCTTCTTATTTATTGTTGTATTCTTCTTATTTATTGTTATTTTCATCCTGTAAAGTGCTTTGAGAAGCGACCTTTAAAGGCGTTATATAAAATGAAGTTTATTATTATTATAGATGGTGATTATTAGGAGGCCATGATTGGTAAAGGCCAATGGGAAATTACACCCCTACTCTTTTCAAGAAATGCCCTGGGATTTTTAATGACCACAGAGAGTCAGGACTTGGGCTTTACATCTCACCCAAAGGACATCGCCTTTTTAAAGTATAGTGTCCCCTTCCCTATACAGGGGCATTAGGACCCATATGGACCGCAGGGTGAGCACCCCCTGCTGGCCCCACTAACACCTCTTCCAGCAGCAACCTCCGTTTCTTTCCAGGAGGTCTCTCATTCAGGTACTGACCAGGCTCACACCTGCTTAGCTTCAGTGGGTTTTCAATTGCAAGTTGCAGGGTGATATAGCTGCTGGCTATCTCATGATTCTTGTCTGCTGCACTGCTTATTTGAAAGTTGCAGTTAACAATCTTCAGCTAGGTTTCATCCTGCTCCGCTCTTCTTTCATGCAAGACTCTGATGGCCAAACTGAATCGCAAATCGCAGTTTGCAGATGTTAAATTTGCCCCTACTCTATACTGTATTGCATGTAAAATTTAATGTTACTTTTTGCATTTTTATTTATTATGAAACCTTCCAATAGTCTAGCTTGTTAAGCTGTAATATGGAAAGAGCAGGATATTATTCCTTGACATGACATTCACTCTGGTGTAATATGTTATTAGGAGGAAGAGAGGCCTCCATCACCAGAAATCGAGGTGGAGAACCTAGAACAGTTTGTGCTACAGCCTGCACCCCAGGGCGTCACTATCAAGTGTAGAGTCACCCGTGACAAAAAGGGCATGGACAGGGGCCTGTACCCAACCTACTATCTGCATCTCGACAATGAAAAGAAGGTATGGTATAGCTCAACAAAATAGAAACAAGAAGGGATATGTGTCAGGCTAGTCATTGAGGAGACTGTCCTAACAGCCCATCTGCCTCTAGAAACCAGTAAAGGACCCTATGTTTTTAAACAGACACACTGGGTGGTAATTATTTGATTAACTAGATCAAGGGTGGGCAAACAAGGGCCACATAAAAGTTTGAAATTGTATAGCGGGCCACTTCAGGCTGCTGTTACAGATGCCCCATTTAAGTTTAAAATCCAACATGGGCTTATAAATTCAAGATTATCAATAAATAATAAATAAAAATAATAATTTAAATATTAACAAATAAAACCTTAAGTTCCACTCGCAAGTCCAGTCTTCACTGATTACCTCAACCCAACTGGTAACTGTTCTGTGTGATAAACTTATTTTCTCAAATTTTCTCTTGCTCTCTGGAGAAAGAATATCTGTGGTTTCTATCATACACTCATTCAAAATCTCCCCTTCAGAGAGTGGCTTCCTTTGTTGAGCAATTTTATATGCAGGCAGGTAGCTTGCCTTTGTGCTTGCCTCTTGGATAGTAGAAGGGCGGAAAAATACATTTTGCTGAGCCTGTAAACTAGTGGCTAGTTTAGAAGCTCTGTCAGCCCACTGCTCGCATGGCAGATTGCTAGCATAGTTAGCATGTTTGGGAGTAAAATGCTAACTGAGATTGTATGCTTTGAACACTGTGACACTTTCCTTACAAATTAAACATATAGCCTTTGTTCCAACCTCTGTGAAAAACTATTTTGCAGACCATTCTTTGCTGAACACTCTGCATTCACTGTCAACTTTCTGCTTCTTCACTCCACTCATTTTGGCGCAGGTTCCATCACAGTAAGATGGACCCACTCTAACTGATGAATCAAATTGGTAAAACAGGGCTTCCCAAACTTTTTGCGTCCATGCCTCCCTTGACCTGTCAAATTTTCCACATGCTTCTGTAAGAAAACCGGCTCAGGGACGCCAAATATGTAATCATTCATAACCGTTCAGGGACGCCAAATATGTAACGTTGCCATAGCCAAAATGTAAATGTAGTGGCTCTCTGAAGGCACCAGTTATTTAGGGTTTGGGCATTTACTGAGACAATTATTAATTGTAGCAGTAAATCACAAAGTTGATTCTTTTGATGGCTTTAGAGTCCAACCATGCGACATAACTCAAACAACGCACACACACAGGTACTAATACACGAGGATACATTTATTAATACATGATACATGAATATGCATGATAACCTAACAGATCTTATCGAGAGGGTTATCAGAATACAAAAGGTATATATTCAGTCAGTTACAAAGTGTTACACACATCAAGAGGACATACGTTCAGTATATCATTCATTTAGACCGTTTCATAAATGAACTTGGTTATAACTTCTACATTAGATACTCAAAACAAGTACATAACTCTTAGGAATTAAATTGATATCAACTGGTTGGGATAACAATTGAATTCTCGAGCAGTAATGCAGTGAAGTTGAATACTCATCCAATCTTTGGGGATTCAGATCTCCTGCGGGCACAAAGAAACAGTTGCAGGCTGTTGCTGTCCAATCCGCGCTCTCTGGCTCGGTGCCAGGCTGTGCTGTGCGGCTTGCGACGGTGCGCTGCTGATGTTCACTGACCGGCTAGTTAGTGTTGGCTTTAACTAGCAAAGTTTGTGCACAGGAGAAAAGATGACTGTGGGTCCCAGCAAGTCAGGAAGAGGACCAGTTCGTTCCTGATGAAGAGCTAGTTCTGAATAGTGATTCAGCTGTCCACAGTTCCGACCTGTTCACGAGGCCTGCTGCTGGTTACTCTCTGGCAACCTCCACTCTAGAGTCTTAGAGCAAAGGAAAGTTCTGGCACTCGGACACACTGGCCGTTCCGTGGTTGTCCGGGCTGAGTCTCAGGATGGTCAGGAGGTGCGCTGCGAGAATGTCCTGCCCTTGGGAGCCTTCTGCTCCTGGGCCGTCCTGCCCTGGAATTCTCCTTTGAATTCCCTTTAGAAAAGTCTCAGAAGTCCACTCCTGAATCTTACTGAATCTCTCAGGCTCTCTGTGTTGCCTGTTTTTACCTGGAGGAACTTCAGCTCATTCATTGGCTGAAAGTTCCATGGGCATCAGACTCCCACATGGGTTACTCGGCCCTACCAGTCCCTGATTGGTTGATCAAGGTGAGATATGAGTCACTTACTCCTGACACTTAGGAATGCAGTCCAGATGTCCATCTGGCACTCCCTAGACAGATAGGCGCCAATGGACGACCCTTGATCATGATAGCCAGGCTTAGCTAAGTGCATCCCCCTTTGGGAGCGGTCCTTCTCAAAGGAACCTTAAATCACCCTGCATGAATAGTTTCTCTGTGGGTGCACCACAGAGATGAACAGAGATATGAGGCCTAATTTGGGAAAGCTCACAACACTTAATTCTTTCTTATTAATAAGCCTCGCAGCTACACCTCCCATGTGTCAAAAATAAGTTCGATGGCAGTGTGATATTTTACAAAAGATGGTAAATTTGAAAAGAAATGATGGTTCAAAATACAAAGTTGATCCAATTTTTATTATTTTTAATCATTTTCAAAACCAGAAGGCTTGATCAAAATAGTAAAAATACTTGACAACACATTTTATTGAAATTATTTGAATGTGAAAACAATTTGGAAAAAAATAGTCAACATCTTTGTAAAATGCAAATAAAATGACTTAGAAAAAGTAAAATTTTAACATAAATGTTTTTTTAGAAGGGGGAGAATACAATGTATTTTTATTTGTGCCTCTTAATGGGTAGGTGGGCTTGTTTAATAAATTATGTTAACATAATTCACCAAAAATACTGGGTAGTATGTTTGAAATGCCAAGGTGCATCTCCTTCTCCACATTGACTCTTGATCTGAACTTGGATTTGATAACTCCAAATGCTGAAATACCAGCATCACAAAGGCAGGGAATTGCAAAGGGAGGGAGAATTCACAGAACTCTGTTGCTTATTCCTTACTCCAATAGTATGAGGTTTTTTGCATTGTTCCACTCGGTATGCAACTTTGTATGAAAGAAGAACTTTGCTGTGGACTGTAATTTGGTTACGAAAAGCAGCTTTCTGTTCATTCATTTAACTTGCGCGTAAAATACTCACAAGGCTTACTTATCAAACTGCTGTGAACAGTTTCCAAATGACGTTTCAATTTATTGGGAAGCATGCTCTCAGCAGCCAATACTTTAAGGCAGACAACACACTGAGGACATTTTTCAGTGTCCACAATTGTGCATGTGAAACCAAAATTCAAGAAACTGTCGTCATACTTTCTCTATTCGTGTTTCTGTTTCACTTTAGAACTAGGCTCTGTGTCCTTCACATTTCTACTCATATTTAAAATCTCTCAATTGCAATTGAAGGGTGTATGATCCTGGCCAGATGACACATTAAACCCTTTAAACCATTCAGGTGTTTGCAAGAACATCGAGCTGCTATAATGAGGTACAGCATATGTATCTCAATTGTAGATGAACAACTGGGATCCAATGCAGACAGGAGCAGGGAAAGCTGGATTTTAATACAATTATTTTTTAAGAAATCCTACAATGAAGGCTGGTTGTGTTTACAAGAAGAACATGTAACTCCAGGGTAATTAACATATTGTATGAAGGTGGGGTATGTTTTCAGAAAGGTGATCTAAAAGGAAACTGGAATGTGTGTGTGTGTGTGTTAAAAACACTTTAATTGATATGTTTACATTATTTTTCCTTACAATGGTTCTCAGTTTATCTATTCTGCTGCTTCTTAATATTGTATTTAAAACCAGTAATTTATTGATTACATTAAATTAATTAATAGTGAAATATAATGGATCGGATTTGAGAACTTGCATGAAGCAGTTATGTTTAATGTGACAACAGTATATCAATGACACATATGTCTTTAAGCTGAATTTTTTTCATTTTCACCAGGGGTCTGTTCCTTCTCCACAGGTCTTCCTCCTGGCTGGGCGAAAACGCAAGAAAAGCAAAACATCCAACTACCTGATATCTGTAGACCCTACAGACATGTCTCGTGATGGAGAAAATTTCATTGGAAAATTGAGGTTAAAAACAAAGTCCCTATTTCACTGACACATCCACTCACTCCAAGACTAACCCATAAAGCACTGAAGTCCCAGCTAACTTCCTCATGGCTCCACTTATGACAGGCTTAAATATACTGACTGGGGGAACCTAAATCTGAGAGCCTTTGGACCTGACACCTGACACCTCATCTGGCATGTACAAATCCAGATAGCTGGCTGTCACATATCAGAGAGCTAGCCAATAACCTCTGCAGCACCACCACTAGGTCTTGATGCCTGAGCCACACCCAGTAAACTATGTCTAATAGCAGACCATACTCAGTTTCACTCATTTCAGAGGCACTCCCAGGATGGTGAGAGTTTTGGAGAGTGACCCTTGTAGCTGGCCTGTAGACCCTCACCAGGTCCCTGCAGCATGAATGTCACTGAAGTGACATCCAATTCCTCTGGATTCCTAGATACAGTCCACTAGGCACAAAGTACCAGGGACATATGTCTGTCCCAGTCTTTCTGGTCAGTGGCAGTGAGAGTGTTGAGCTACATAGCAAGCTTCTGATTGAAGAACTCCAACTTATGGATACACAGACACTGGCACACTTCCCCACAGACAGGCTACTCAAGTTTTGGATTCTGGTCAATGATCTGTTCTTCTATTCCACATGCCTTCAGTCCTGGCCCTAGTACAACCACTCTCAGAGGCACACAAGAATCTTCACCTCCCTAAAACCAGTCCTAGGCAGGCTGTGCGCTGGTTGTACATCCAAGCTCTGGACGTTCCCAGCTGGATCCGCAAACTCTAGTACAGGAGCTACCAACAACATCATCGTGCCCCATTGGCTCCAGAGGACTTTGGCATGGCAGGACAGTTCATTGTCAATCAGATCACCTGTCTACCCTCCAGTAGAGAACTGTCCCCCCTCAGAGTTCTGTGTATGTTTCCTCCAGTTCTTTAGTGACACAGCTGTCAGCCCAACCCTGGCAGTCCAGGTGGCATTGCTGAGCCTGCTCCTGCTGAGTACCATTATTGTCCTGTTCCTCAAAAAAAGGGCTATATTGGCATAGATTCTGTGCATACGGCAGGTAGGAAAGGGCATCTACATTCGGCTTTCACTTCCCAGAACAGTACCCCTGAGTTAAGACAAAACTCTGCTGCAACTCTAGCCATCTGACCCTCAGCCTTCCTTAAGTTAAGCAGCCAGCATAAGGAAGCATAAGGTGAAAGGCTTTAGGGACAGGGACAAAAGTGGAGGACAGTTTGGAACTTGCACTGTGTTATGAATAGTCTTTCTCAGCACAAGTAAGAGCATGGCTCAAGTAGGATGAAAGGATATTCTGGGTCCAAGTAGAATAACACCAACAGGGCAGCACACAGTTGTTTGAATGCAAATTAGCCATTCTCATCTCACTACAATGGGGCTTTTTTGCAAGGGAGGCGAGTACAGGGAAGCAACAGCTTTGAGTCTGGAGACAAAGCCATGATAGTATGATGCCAGACAGATGAACTTTCTCATGTTCCAATTGACATCTTCAGGAAGTGTCAGAAACCTACTATTTGACATTCCCTGCACAAATATGATATTTATAGGTGTTTGCAAGGAGGAAGCCACTACTGAAGCACCACAAAGAGACAACTATATTTTGTTACACTACATCCAAATAAAAAAAAATCTTCCTTATATTATATGAAAATTAAGCAGTTTTGCAAACTATCATGAATATTATGTTTGGCATAAAGAGGTGAAGCTCGTGTTGAGAAACATTTAGTCCCACTGTGTTAATATGATAGTTGCTAAGCTTTCTGGAGATGTTTTGTCTCTACTAGTTCTGGAAGCCTAGTTAAGGTAGGAGAAATCAAACTCCAACATGTGCCAGGACATTTTTAATAAACAGTTGTTTCCTTTTGCCAAGAAGCTCAAGCTTAGAGGGCTCTGTGTTGTTCTGATCTATGCATATAACTAAATATTCAATATAATTATAGTACAATAAATTAAGAAGTTCCAGACATTTCACAATATGTTTCTAGCAGAACTCAATATTCAATTTACTTAGATTTACATTTTCTACTTTATTTTCCAGGTCCAATTTAATGGGAACCAAATTTACAGTGTTCGATAATGGAGTAAACCCTGAGAGAGCAAGCTCTGATTTATCCAATGCCCGTCAGGAACTTGCTGCCATCATTTATGTAAGTAGGAATTCACAACTGCTTTGAAACATGTAAATCTTTGTTGTACAAGAAGCTTTAAAATGTTTGCATTTAATATATGTGAAGAAAATAATTGATAAGAACTGAAATGAAATAATTCAATGAATAATTCAAAATAGCCATTTTTAAAGAACTGAAGAAAATCAGGCATTTAGTAATAAAAATATCTTATTTCTAACATTTCAGGAGACAAATGTACTGGGATTTAAAGGCCCCAGAAAGATGACAGTCATAATTCCTGGAATGAATGAGGACAGCGAGCGAGTACCAATTCGACCACGAAATGTAAGAAACCCTAAACCCCTGCTTTAACTACTAACTATGCTTTCATATGATAAAATACTTTCTAAAAGAAAAGGGGTAAAATCTATGAGTATCAAGCAACCTTAGAAAAGGCAAAAATATTTAATAATTGTTTTTGATTACAAATATAGTATTCTCAAATTAATAAATAAACAAAAATATTAGTTCAGGAATTTAATTTCCTAATTCCTGATCTGATATTTTTGTTAATTTATTAATTTTAGAATATTTTCTAATTGTTCTAATTAAGTGTTTCTCTTAATGCTTTTGAACTTAGTAATATAAAGCATATATACAGTACACTGCATATTCTTGGACATATTGTCCCCTTGTGGCAAGACTGGAGTATAGCAGGCAGTGATGTTAATTTTTCAGTTAAACAAGCTTTTCTCTATATGCAAATATAGAAATGCAATGTCATAATGCATATTCAGGTAAATGCTAATTGTAATACAGTTGTTCCAAATTTACAGTGTAGCCTGTACAGAAGATAAAGGAAATAAATTCAGATGAGTTTTCATGACCATGTCATTAGTGACTCAGTGCTATCTTGGCTGCAATTGTAACTTGTCTTCTCTTTCCAATATTCACATAGGAAAATGATGGACTGCTCATTCGCTACCAAAATAAGAACATGGACAACCTGATTGAGCTTCACAACAAAACACCGGTGTGGAATGATGAGACACAGTCCTACGTGCTCAATTTCTCTGGACGAGTAACCCATGCCTCCGTCAAGAACTTCCAAATTGTCCACAGCAAGGATGGTGAGTTGTCTCTCCCTGTTCTTCACCTCAAGTTTTCTTTTGTTGAGAATGTCCAAATCAACAATATTTGTTTAATGCTTTGGTATAATAGTATGAATTTAGAAAGTCTGGAAAGAAAATCTTAAGAAAAAAAAATATTTCTTAATTAAACCCTAAGGCAAGAATTTATCTCCCCTCCCCTCTTTTCCAATTCCCACAGGAAAAAATGTCACAAAAGACAGGGTTCAGATGGAATTAGTAGCAATATAGAATGTTTAACTTAATGTTGTCCTTGGCCTTGGGGAAAACACTTTTTGTTTTACAAATGTGTAGTTGTTTAATGTTGTGGTTGTAAATGTTTGCTTTTCTTGAGTTTGCAATAAGTTATAATTTAGTTTCTCTTTTTTAAGTTACTGAAGATGGAGAATAATAAGATGACTGATGCTTAACCAGTATTTTTTCTGTCTCCCTCTCTCGAAACAGTTGACTATATAGTGATGCAATTTGGACGAGTGGCAGATGATGCTTTTACACTGGACTATAACTACCCCATGTGTGCTGTACAGGCCTTCGCCATTGCTTTGTCTAGCTTTGATGGCAAACTCGCCTGTGAGTAACAGAAGATTAAAATGCAAGGTTGCAAGAAACAAAATGGTTTTCCACCGTGCTGTGAAATCACAAAGAACTGCAGGTAGATGCAGAAAAATTACAAGCATTCCATTATCCAGAGTTCACTCTTCCCAGCCATGATGGCAAACCCTCACATGCTTCAATTTTGTGTCAGATGTTTTCGAAAATGTCAACTTTGGCATTAATTTGTTAATTTTAAAATTTGCCATTGTTTAAAACAATATTTTATTTGCTTTGTATACTTTAGCTAACTTTGTTTCTGATAAATGTGAGCCTAGGACATTTACTGACTTTAAGGGGTGATGCTGTAACAGAACTTCTATTACAAAAAAGTAATATGGAGAAATCATAATAAAAATTAAAAGATCATTACTGCAACTAGCTGAATATTACTATATGTGATGGAAAACATATTGTTGGCAGACCTTTCATCAAACATGATACAGAAATTATTGCATGGAAAATCAAATGAATGAGTTGTGTTGGTAAATTACAACACTTTGGGCTATCTATTGTGATGCCACAGGGGGATGCGGACATCTAAACGGCACCAGTTATAGACAGGGCACGATAGACACACCAAACACAGTCATATGGTTTATAGTGAATAATCAAATGTGCAAAAATAAAATAAGCTAGTAAACCTAGCTCTTGGTGTGAGCTTCTGACTTTATTTCCATACTTACATACTAGAGGCAGCTACCAGTATGATTCTTTCTCCAAAAATGCTGTTTCAAACAAAAGTCAGAAAGAAAAATAACATTCTAGCATTCCTTTCCAGGTTTGTTTAATACTCAGGATCCTCCTTCAGTTAAATGTTGGCATTTAGTTTCAATCCTTTCGTGGTCTTGCAATTTACAAAAAAAATACAATAAGACTCCATTTTAAGCTCTCAGATACACCACTGTTTCCAACTCAGATGTGTTCTTAGTTTCTCTGATCTCAGAACTTCAGATCTTGCAGTGGTTCATTTCCTTCTTTAAGCTTTAAATAGCACAGTGTTTAATATGTATCAGCTTTCTCTCACGCAATACTCTTTCCTTAGCTCAGGTGCTTCTGTGATTCAGCTGCTTCTTATTCTTCCTATTCTTATTAAGCGCTTCAAGAAGCCACCTTTAAAGGCGCTATATAAAATAAAGTTTAAGTAAAAGCCTTTTACTTAAAGTGCTTGTTATGTGAAACTTATCTCCACTTGTTGCTTCTGCTTTAAAGCAGCGGTCACCAACCTTTTTAGGCATAAGATCACCTTTTGAAATTTTTGAAATCAAAAGATCTACCATCATATATGCCGGACCTAGGCTATCCAGAATAAAAATGTGCATTTAGCTTATTCCCACCTTACTATAGCTACAATTACATGAAATATCACTGTTTACTTACTTCATTAAGGTGCTGCAAAGTGCTGACAATCATGGCACTAACAGTCAGTGAGATGCCTGTAGCTGTACACTATCCGCAAGTGTGCTTTGTAGTCCAGAGTATAGTTTGATACAGCAATTCTAATGCAGTCGGTCAGGTGATCAACTGTTAAGCGAGTGTGAGTGGCGAGTTAGGCGAATGCGATACTTGAAGCATCTCACAAAGATTTTTGGATCCGAAGAAGGCCTTTACCTTAGGTGCATAGGATGAAAGGAGTGGATACCTCTCACTGCTCACAAGCCCCCAAAAGTCCTTGTCTCTTGACCTGGCTTTCATCTCAAGGTCATTTTGTAGGTCAATTATTTCCATGTCAACTCCACTGTTTAAATGTTGTTGACAGATACTCAATCTCAGTAGCAAGAAAGGGGTTTGAGATGAATGTGACAATGTCTTCTATCTGGTTTAGCTCCTGAAACCGCCTGTTAAACTCCTTTGCCAGTCTGTCCAGGTGGATACAGAATTCTTTAGGATGGAACGAGTCTTTGTCTGAGATGTTGCTCAGCATGTTGGCAAATTTCTGGAAGTGAGATAGATTCCGGCAGTTTATCTGGGATTTCCACAGTGCAAGTTTTACTTTGAAGGTATTCACAGCACTGATCATGTGTAACACATCTCTTATCCTTTCCCTGCAATTCACAATTCAGCACATTCAGTTTGGAAATTGAGTCTGTTAGAAATCCCAACTCGAGCAGCCATGTGTCATCTGTATTCTTCATTCCTTGACTTCAGAAAAGTCATCATGTCCGGCAGCAAATCAATGAATCACTGGAGCACCTTCCCATGACTTAACCAGTCACATCAGCATTTAGAATCACATCTCCATATTCAGCGTCAATCTCATCAAGTAATGACTTCAACAGGCGGTGCTGAAAAGCTTTTGCACGAATCGAATTTACAATTTTGACTACAACAGTCATCACATGTGAGAAATCCAGTACTTGGCTGGCTAGCACTTTCTGATGAATGACACAGTGATAATTGACAAAAGAGGGGAAAGCTGGATCTTTCCTACAAAGCGCAATGAAACCAGCATTCAGACTGCGCATTGCCAGTGCTCCGTCTGTTGTGATTGACACTAGTTTCTGAAGTGGGATATTTTTCTCATGTGTTTTGAATGCACGGTATAGAGCTCCTGTCCTCTCCTTTAAAGGCAGAAGAGTAAGAAAGTCCTCATTAATAGTCACATCCATAAACACCATGCAAAGAAACACGACAAGTTGAGCCGTGTCAGTCATATCCACAGATTCGTCAAACTGAAGAGAAAAGAATTCACAAAGAGATAAATCTCTCAATACCGGCTGTGATATGTCTTCCGACAATGACTCCACTCTTCTTGCTACATTTGTAGCTCAGAGTGACAGAGTGATTACTTATAGCTGTTCTGATTTCATCTATGTTTTTAAAGTCTCTGAATAAGGAATCGGCGGTGACCATCATCGCCTCTTTGAACAAGTCTCCATCTGTAAATGTTTTTTTGGTACTTTGCTAGAAGGTAACTAATACGAAAGGATGCCTCGGCGTTGGCTTTTCCCTGTTCCTGCAGTTTGGTAAGAAACAATTGCTGAGCCTTCAACAAAGCTTTCATCTCCTCAACTTTCTTTGAATGAATTGAACTTTTCAGAGGAAATGTGTCCTTAAACTTTGGATCCATAGTGGAGTAATGGCGCTCCAAGTTACCTCTTTTGAAATATCAGGCATATACTTTTGTCCTTAACCATGGTGAATAAAAACTCATCCTCCCATTTCAAGTGAAAGTTGAAAGTCTTGGCCTCCTTTTTTGATGGCTCTTCCTCAGCCATTGTTTTTCACTGAGTTTGGGAAAAATAATAATCTAGCTAGAAGTGTGTAATGTTACAGCTTTTTTTATAGCTACCTGTTTAGATAGCCAAAAACCACTGATTCAGAGTGAAGTAGCTATGATGAAAAAAGCAGCATAACGGTAGACTGATTTTTCACAATCAACTGGCAGTGTCTGGAAGATCAACTAGTCGATTGCGATTGACTGGTTGGCGACCACTGTAAAGTAAAGCACTTGTTACGTGAAGATGTAGAGCTTCCTCCATGGCAGGTGCTCCTAATGTCTCATAGTATAGTCTAGAGCAGGGTGGGCTGTTCCTTGTTCCAGTATCTATGCGTATACACCATCTTAGGTGTTGGATTTCTCTCACTGTCAACTTGGTATAGGCAAAGGAATCTAAAAATTCTAAGACTTGTCAGGGAATTTACCATCCCCCTAGGCTGACACTCTTAAAGTCATCACATTATTCACCATATATAAATTATTAATCCATGATAGAAATATTGCAGTAAAACCCACATCATTTTCATCAGCTCTGTAAAGCATATTATAGCTGTGCTTATAGAACTGATTTTCAATTAAGGATCTTATACAGTAGTTATAAGTCTTTTGACTTTCTGTTGAATTTGATGAATTTCTGATTCATCATATACATTAATGAAGATATCTGGATAGCTTTTTGGAAAATTTGTTGGATAGGTTAGTGTGCATACCTGCTATGCTTCTCAAATAATTTAGTGTAATTGAAGTCTTTCATATGTATTGCTAGTTACTTTTGTCAATATTGATTTATTAACATTTATCTATCTAAGACAGAAATACTAGTACAGTCTGTATTAAAAATAAACAATGTTTATAATAAAATAATATGAAACATACAGTTTTTCACAATTGATGCTCTATTTTTGGTTTTATTTTTCATTTTATATATGTGACCCTGAATTCAATTCCTGTGGTCTTATCTTGTGGATGTTCTCCCTATATTTGCGTGGATTTCCTTTGGGTGTTCCAATTTCCTCCCATAGTCCAAAACCATGCTGGTAGGTTAACTGACTTCTGTAAAATTGAAGGAACAGATAAACTTTCATTCCATGCTGAAAGGTAAAGAAAAAAACACAAATGTTTCAGCTGTGGAGCCTTCTTCAGGTCTCAAGCATAGCAGTAAGGCTCTGCAGCAGAAACATTGTGTTTCTTTTCTTTATCTTTAACTTTCATCTGTTCCTTTGTAGCCTCCTCCTACTAATACAGCTATCTACTCAAAAATGTTCTGTAAAATTGGTCCTCATGTGAGTGTGTACGTTTGAGTCTGTGTGTGCTTCCACTCCAGGGTGTATCCTGTGTTGCTTGGTTACTCTGACCTCCCTTGTGGATTTCTGATTTTTTAAGAATTTTCTTTTCTTTTCACAAATAAATACAGAGAATCACAAAATAGAAAGCTTTACATTAATATACAGTACATACTTAAAACAGTATATATGAACATATTTCATTAAGTTTTGACACGGTAACAGTTACATAGCAACAATTTATCTTGTTCTGGTGCAAATCCCATTCTTTACTTTTACTTTTTTATATATAATGTTTTTCACAGATTCTTAAGGTACAGTCCTACAGATGCAGCCATTCAAAATGGGTGAGGTATTTCGC